ACCACACCAGGAGAACAGATGACCCATACACGACCTCAACCTCAACCCCAACACGTAAACACACACACACACACTTTCACACACACACACACACACACATCATCATCACATACCCACACACACACACACCCACACACACACCCACCCACACACACACACACACAAGCGCGCGCGCTTATGCCAAATCCAACATCACACTGCCTGGCCTGGTGGGACGAGGCACTCTAATCATGGAAACAAGGACCGGCTGCCTGATCACACAGGCATAGCCAATGGTTCACTCCAACACCACACACCCTAATAATGCATTATGATTCTGGTTGTTTGTTGTCTGAAGACCAACACTCACTCACAGAGAATCCCAGGTATGCCCATACATACACAGAAGGAAGGGGAGAGGATGGGAGTATCACACAGCACAGGGAGAGATAAACAGGGCGGAAGACTTGAGCATGCGATATGACAGGGTACACTGAAAGTGCAATTCACTCCACTCAATCCTCACAACCAGCCATAAAGAAAAACCGAGTAGATCACATCCAGGAAACAATGAAACGATGATAGTCCAAACCCAGTATCAACACTGTTTATTAAACTCAGAGACTCGAATTGTCCGGATAACCTCAAAACTACAGTGCGCTGCTCAGAAATGAGCAGCGCTTCACTCCCCAACCCTGAGTAACCACCCGTAAGACCCCTGAGTCCCTGAAACTTCAAGCGCCACCCCAGAACTGCCTCCACAGGGCAGCGCCACCCTGAAGCAGACCTCTGAGGCCAAGCACCACTCAGAGGATGAAGAAGAAGACCAGCGCCACAGTATCTGATGATGATGACAGAGTGTCGGAAGACTTCCCGGATGGAAGTCTGCAGCAGCGCCACCACTCCTGACAAGACAACCTCTGAGGAAGAAGCTGCAGCTATGGCTGCAGCGCCACAACCCTGGAACCCTACTCCGGAGGAGGGTCCAGCAGGGCACCAACTTCTCTCGCCTCCAACAGACCTCGAATAGTCCAGACCTCTGTACAGCCCCGCGTGCTGACAGAGTACAGCGCAGGTCCCAGCTATGGCCGGCGCTCCGAAGGTCTGGCTATGTCTGTCTCCCTCAACGCTGAGCCGTCACCACTTCCAGTTCACACGTTGCACAGCAGCGATGTACTCGATACCAACCGCCAAAAGCCCTGAACCGATGTGCCTAACCTATCTATAGACTACTCTAGCCTAGACTCAACCTAGACCGGACTGACTGACCGACCAGTACCGATTCTGTTTCGGCATCTAGGGCCTCTCCCAACCCGGCTATAGGCTATAGGACCGTCTATCAGCTTAGGCCCATAGGGCCTGTATGTACTAGGGGTAGCCCGGGTCTGCTATTCGCAGTTAGGGTAGCTGTAGGAAATTCAGTTAGTACGGGCCTGTATTTTCCCGAATTTACAGATATCTCCTTCGCGAATTTTCCTTACAGGCAGGTCACTCAGTTAGCCCTCAGCCAAACAAAATTACGAATCTGTCCTACCTATGGTACAGCCTCGCCAGAGAGAGGCTACAGGCAACCAGAAAACAGCAAGTCATTGCATGACTGTATCGGACCACAAAGATGGCCTGGATACAGTCAGGATGAGGGTGTGCTGTGTTCAGGGGAAGAGTAGGTAGCCAGCCACATCATCAAAGATCGACCTTGCGAAGCAAACCCAAGAATCTGCCAAACTCCCCACACTAACCTGCAAACAAACACCAAGACCAGTCGGCGACCGGTAGGCACCCCACCAAAAAAAAATAAAAAAAAAATGTTTTTTTTTTTTTTTTTGGGTTCACAAGTTTGGGTTGGGGACCGGTCGGCAACAGCAGCAGCAACTGATACCTGTTTCGTACATGCCCATAGAGAGAGAGAGAGAGAGAGAGAGAGAGAGAGAGAGAGAGAAGGGGGGGGGGGGGGGGGGGAGATTCTATTTTAGCTACTTGGCCATGGGGGCGGAATGACATGCCTTGTCGTTTGATCTGTTTTACATGTTGGCTTCTCCATGATGTTACATGCACAGATATGTGATGTTCGTAATACCCGAGGAACTGCAGTGTGATAAAAAGGACTGAAATGGACAATGCGGTGAGAGTAGAATCTCGACAGACAATGTGCATTCTCATACATACAAAAGTGCTGAATAGCGCAGGGAAGACTTAGATACAAAGACTGACCTGACAAGGACTGACCTCACACACGTAGTACAAGTAGCGAAGCAGAATGCTAGAATACCAATC